TACAGGTGGACTCTCTCTCTACAACGAAATTCAAGAGACCAGTAAAAATGTTTGTTGTGGAGAACCTGTGTAACTTGAAAAAAAAGAAAGCCTATGGAACCAAACGCAAAATTCGTTTATAAAAAAAATCGTTATAGGTAAGAAAGTAGTAGAGAGAGAAAGTCTGCTAGTTGTATCATGCTATTTTTCGGGGGAAAGTTCAGGTTCATCAAAAAATTGAAAACTTACAAACGATGCTAATAACACTGCAGCAGCAATTGGCGCAAAATAAGGTCGGTGTCTCTTCGTGCGCGACGCCAGCGGAAATTTTTCACCGATTCGCTTTATGAGGTGCCCACCATTCAATATTTATTTTCAAGTACAGTATTCTGCATACAATATTATTAAGAAGAATCGCAGCAATCGATGTTGATTGAGTTTTTAGTCACGCATACCTCGCAGGAAACCATAAAAATTATCACTCAGAAGCCACCCACAGAAGAACATGGAAAAATTAACTGATGCCTTCTTTATTATGTCTTTTCTTTATTTGCAAACTCAAGTGTAAAATTAGTTTTGAATATGAACGATGAACCAAGATAAGCATCATGCTAGATTCAGAAGTAAATCTAGATTTCCGTTTGATATCTAGGCTAAATATACAAAAACAATTTAAACGTGCTTAATAATTTACTCAGCGCGGAAAACAGGAAACCATAGGATGTTTTTTCAGTGTTTAACCCATCAATTCAATGTAATTAAAACCGAATTAATACAGCACGTGATCAACACAGGTGATTCTACTCGAGGAAACCTGGTCTGAGCTGTTTTTGATATGCGCGGTTCAGTGGTCGTTGCCCGTGGAGTCAGGGCCGTTTTTCTCTGTAGCCGAGCACACTGCAGGGATGCCTGCTGCGAAAGTGCCACAGGTTTGACTGGATTCTTGCGCATCTAAAGTATAATTTTTCGCTAATTGAAGTCGTCATTATTGCGTCGTTTGCAGATCGCAGCTGACGTTCGTTATCTACATGACCTGTGCTTGAAATTCCGTAACTTGGGCGTCGACCCGGTTGAATTTGCTTGTCTCAAGGCCATCATCTTGTTCAGATCAGGTGAGGGAGTCTGTTTCATTCCCCTCAAA